ATCTGATTCATATGTGCAATGATTTTGTAAATATAAATTAGGTAAGATCGTGTTATAATAGCTAAAATCCGGTTATGTAAGATCATTATGATAGACTTTTCATATGCATAAGAAGTTGAACATTACTATTTATCTAAACTTTATGTAGGCACGGTATTATCTATGGCAGGCGCTGAACGCCGCCCGCACTACGTAAATGTATGCCATGTAGCTTGTAGTTTACACGGGCGCTAACGTGTCATGCAGCCGCGCAGTTTGTTTTTGTTTATAAACCGTGAAACCTTTTCTAGGATCCAATTATGTTAACCACACCGTTTTGGTTCCTGAATATTCATAGAATCCAATTTGTCGTGCCGTGGCTTGTTTTATGTTATCTTTCTCACTGACAAAACGGATTACAAGGATAAGCTTGGATAATTTCCTACAGCGGTGTTGATTTTCGTGTGAATACATTGTTGAAATGTTATTCAATGGATAACAATTTATAGTCTGTATCCCAGGTAGACGAAGGGTCAGAAGACAGGTTCCATCATACATACTATAGTTGTTGGGGTTTTTAATTTGGTTTGCTACACTACACACAGTGGTTTTATGGTCTATTTGCAGACCAGAAAGTCGTTCTTTACATGAAAGGATCGGTAAAATCAGCTTTAGTCCCGTTAATGTTAAATTTACCGATCATTCTTACGGAGATCTTTTTTTCAAAAGGGCGTAACATGAGTTTCATCAGTAGGCTCTCGACGATACACAATATCATAGAGGTTTAAAAACGTTACCCTTTTATAGAAGTAGAACATTCTGTTAACGTGTTGTGTTGGAATAGTGCATATTAAACAGTTTTGCGATTGCGATTGTGTTTTAATAACGCTGTCTATTTGTTACTGGTAGAGAGTCGGTTCTCTCGGGAAGGTGTTAACGGTAGCGTGAAATCACGCGTTCGACAAGCCTAGCATCGGAAATCATGCTATTGCTATAGTCTGTATAATGGAACCTGTCTCCTGACCCTCAGTCTACATTTGACCCGGGCTTAAAGCATGACCAGCCCCTAACTTGCTGGAGATTCAGGAGACATGTTACATCATACAGACTATAGTACCGTAAACACCTACTTTTCAGCCTTGTGACGTAATTTAATATACTACTACGTTATTTTATTTCCACTTCCGATACTTTGTAATACTAAACGTGTGGTCACTAGTGACCTAGTCTCCCAAGTCATTTCTACAAGTTCTATTGACGCGATGTAGGTCACAGCTGTAATGACCGATTAGTGGCACAAAATCGATATGTAGCGGTAAATATGTAAATAGCTACAACACGAGCACGCAAAATGTGTATTGATCGAGAGATAAGCGACCTTTCAACTTTGTGACCTTCAGAGACCTTTGTATATAGTTCAGCGGTGATATAGGTGTTGCCGTATCGACCTGGTCTGGAAATGTCGCCACTTTGTGGAACTGCTTACCATTGTTAGAAACAGCTGTATTTGTTGGCGGATTCGAATTGAATCCACTCTACAACAGGAACTTACAAGTATTTGATTAAAGTGATCGATATGTTAAAATTTTGTATCAATTTGAGGTTCAACTCATACTATGCTAGGATTGCTTATATACTTTATACTGTAATTTATATAGGATTGCATCCATAGCAGTAAAAGCCAGTTGAGCAGACCGATCACGTTTCATATGGTTTCAATAGAGAAAAAAAGTAAAATAATAAAAACATTTCATCAATTTCTTATCAGTTTGTCTCAGAACTATCAACAGCTGTAACAAGTTTCATAAGTGAAGATATGGACATTAGCCTACAAACATATCCTTTGTAACGGTATTTTTTATATGTTTGCTTGGTAATGTCATCTAGAGAACCAACTGTTCTGTTTGAACGCGACCAATCCATGTCCTCTATCAATATGATAAGCAGATGTAATTTTTTAAAGACCGGCCGGCTTTGAAAGGATTTTACGAATAGTTTTCACTCCCTAGTCCCTACCTTATAAGGTCCGTTTTCTTAAATTTTGTACATTTAACCTATGAAAAACATTGTTTTAAAGAAAATGTTCTACATTAAAGTTATCTTAAAACATTGCAAGAAGTAGTTGTTCGTTCGTTTTTTGATCGTCTTTATTTTCTACAAACATTAGACAGTTTTTGAGAATGCACTCTGAAACTGTCCTTTATATGACTCTCTTGTGAGAATTGGGCATTTTCTTTTAACCAAAATACAAAAATAACTTCTTTAGGCTTACTTACTTGGGCAATTATATACCCCAAATTGCCAACACGCTGATCTATACCTACAACATCTGATCTAATACAACTAGCAGATAGCCAAATGGCAAATGATAAATGGGGTGAATCTTACTTTGCTTTGAATCGAACCAGTGATTTTCAGATGTGAAGGCTAGCACTAGTTTTCTGTATAGCCACTTGGCTACTCAGCCAAATTATTTATTAATTTTTATTTTTGTTTTAATAATTACTGACTATGTTAATCTTAAAATTACTATGCAATAAAACGTTGAAGAAAAATAATTCAAAATATATACTTAATCCCTGGTGCAAGAACACCAATTTTGGGAAAAAGTAGTGAAAATTCAGTCTTAATGCGGTAAATCAATCTACAGTATTTGTAAGTGATGGAAATGAAGAAAGTGCAATGCTTTCCAATAACTTTAAATCAAATGATTTATGAACGTTTTGACATAGTTTGATATAAATCTGTGCTTCATTCTACAATAACCAGAAAGACAATCTTTAAGTTGTACATCAATATGGTCACCGTTTCTAACACACAGCTGTTTCCATTACCAATCCAACTTCCATTACTGTAGCTATACAATCAGACCATTGAAAGTCCAACTCCTTTTATGGTGTGAATGGTAAAGTGCTCAAGGCCACAATGCCATCTGCTCACAGATGTTCTCATGTTTATGTGTTTTGTATATGTCTGTACTCAGATTGAGAGAAGACAAAATTAATTGTTTATTTTGATCAAGAAGTTATTCAATGAATTGTTGTACCAGTAAGATTACTTTGGTAGAAACTCTGACTTCTGGTAATTTAGATATATTCCAGGTGATGATGTAAGTTACAGATTTTTGTCGGATTCAATTCAGCAACATTTTATCCAATTCAAACAGAATGGACAAACTATTCGACACTTTAGAAACATAACAAAAATATCGCAGCAACACAAACTAAAAATAAAATTTTGTAGACTGTAGCACATTCTGCAAGTGGCTGGGTTCATTCAAATTTATACATTTTTAATAATTAATTGACTAAAATGGCCAATATAGATGTGATGTCGGTTTTAAGACCTAAAATTCAATGGTAAAACATATTAAAAATTTACTTCCTTAACAACTTTGATTGAAGGAGTTAAAAAATGTAGTAAAAAAAATATTTCCAACTGTTTCTTTTAAATAGCCATGCATCCAAAAGTTAAGTATTCATATGAGTGTTCATACCATACCATTACCATTACCATTACCAACTGGCGATCATTGACCAGATGTCTGGATCGATCTTGTCACATAAAATTTACTTTTAAAATGAAATAAAGTAATATTTACAATATTTACACTCCATGGCGGCCGGATTCATACTCAAAAGTCCATTGCAGTGGTTTGTGCTTAGATGGAAGGAAACATAGCTTTATTCAGCAAAAAATGTGTCTTTAATCACTCTACAATTTTTACCCCAACATTTTCTTTGTTTGAAGTAGGCTATTATTGGTGGTTTGGAATCAGTGGTGTATAAGAGATAATTACATACATTATCCATTACAATTGGTGAAAATACAAAGTTTTCTCAAAGTTATGGAATCTGGAATTTAATCCCGTCTTCCCAAACACACAAACTTTCACATTTATAATATTAGTAAAATTAATTCAAAAATCCAGCTAATACTGGAAAATCACAATTAAAACCATACAGGAAACTGTATAGTCGATACAAAAAATCAGAATAGGTCCGCAATAACCTCTCCAAACTGAAAAAGAAAACTCTGCAAGTTTTGGTGAAGCTTTTTTACCTCAAGAACTCACTTAAACGGAAGCAGATAAATTTCCAAAACACTAAAAGGGCAAGAGTGGAACGGAGTTTATGTGTATGGCAACGGCACATGCCTGCCTGCGTGTCTTCCCACCTTAACTGTCAAACTGGAGACATCTGGAGCGATATTGTAATGGCATTGTTGATGGACGCTGTAATAATCTGTCATGTCGTTCGACTTTACACCGTCTCTTACGATACACTCGCTGGTTCACAGATCTTTCAATGGTGTTAAACATATGGAAAAGTTTTAGACGTAACTTCCTATTTTGAGTTTATATTGTTTATATTGCAGAGAGTTGTGTAAAATATATTTAATGTATCCAGAGGTCAACCACTAAGCGCAAACTAAATATTACTATATATAATTATAAAGCTTACGTACAAGTTATAACCCAAAAATTTTCTCGATGTCCTAATATAAAAAATCTATGAGGAAAAATTCCATAAAATTTGTTCATGAAACTTTTCTGAAAATACTATGAACATTTTTAATTTTATATAAAAATATTAGGTTATTAGTGGAAAATATTATCGCAAAAAGGATTATAAAAGATTGTTGTACTATCCTCACACATTTTTGATTTGTATCATATTTTCAAAATTCTGTAAATTCGGCTTTAAATAGGAGGGTGAGTGCAAAATTATGAGGGAAGATTGGGGACTTTTCGGAAAATACACATCTAAACGTGGTCTAACAACATTAAAAATCCAGCTTTCCCAGAATTACTTCCGATACAAAATCTTTATTGATTAGGCTTTATCACATTATGTTGACATCAAACGTTTCAGAGACATTGCAGTTCTCCATCTTAACATTGCAGAACCATTAGTGCAAGCTCTTTGACTTAAATTCAATAAGATTTTTGATTACGTAGACTGCTATTGTGTATGTGTTGATGTTCACTTAACTACTATAGTTATTTATTCTTGTTACAGGTTCCGCAAGACTTTACAGACTTCAATCTGTTGTGGACCGGAGTTCATCCCAAACCTCAAGTACTCCGGTCTCTCAGCAGTCATCAACGGGTCAACCATTTCCCCAGGTACTCTACTGCCCAGTTGTCTTTAATGTATCAAAAAGTTACAATTTTCCTTTTAAAGTAGGCCTAAAGCCGGGTTTTCCTAGGCGCGGAGTCGGCCAGCGGAGAGAGGAACGCGGAGAGCGGAATTGAAATTAACATGGCATTCCGCTCCGCTTCTAGGAAAACAGTAACATTAAATTGCCTAAGACAAGTGGAGTCCGCTCTCCGCTGGCCGACTCCGCGCCTAGGAAAACCCGGCTTAATACTGACATTATAATTTTTTATTGGTTTTGAAAGGGGTTACAGCTTTAGATACAGACACACTCAGATGAGTAAATTAATTGGAATCCATCTTAAATTTACGTTTAAGGTTTAGACCATACACTATTTTTTGACGATTTCTTTGTCGGGTTAGTAGTTAAGACAGTGGAATTGATATGACAGGTAAACTAAAATACTCAGCGGAATTTGTATACTATGTTTTGATTGAAATTACCAATACAGTAGAACCTCAATGACAAGTCACCCTTCATAACTAGTGTAATTTTCAACACCTGTTGAATTTATTTCCTCAAGTTGTTGCAACCCTTGAAATAAGTCACCCTTGATAACAAGTCATTAATAATCTCATTGAGAGTCTTGTTATTGATATTCTACTGTCGATAAGTTGAAAGTTTATGTCAACCACATTCAAGGAACAATGTCAATGTACTGTTTTTAAACTCAGCCCAGTGTTTCTGTTCACACTTTTGGCATTGGCTAAGCTGTTGACCCTTGTCTTGCTAATATAGTCTACGGTCATAGTAAAATATCTAAAAAAAAAAATAATACTGTCTCGATAAGTAAACGTTACGCATAAATGCCTTTTGTGAAATAATAACTTTGAATAAACATGTGTTTTAGAACGTCAAATTTAAAACGCATCCTATTCAATCTATTCCTATTGGGAACAGTCATTAAAAAATACTAGTGCACATGTTGCTCGAATTCGAGCAACTGCAAAATATTATAGACGTTCAAAGCTAATAACAGTCGCAATTTCCGATGACTTAAAAGAGTCAACTCAAAGATTATGTAATCAATCACCCCACTCCAGTTTCGAAACTGAAAACGTGCTCACTTTGAATACGAACGCTCTACTTGTGTGTATCATGTGTTTACTATGAACAGCTGTAATTAACACAAATAATTTGACTGTTTAAATGAACAAAATCTTTTCTTCATAAGAAATACATTGGGATTTTGATGGCCTGTGGGGCAAAGCCCGAGGACTTTTAATACAGGAATTGGTGAAAGGGAGCGTCTACACAATAAATACTAAATTTTGACGCATCGTTTGTAAAAATCCGTCCATTATTAACGGAGGAGTAGTGTTTCGTAGAAATCGCCTTCACGTATTATATATAAGGATACAAAAAAGTGATAGTTAAATTATTTAGGTTCCCAGCATTTAATATGTCCCCCAGCTACAGAAATCTGTTTTTGTAACTAAAAAATAAAAAAGAGTTGACAGTAGACAAAATATAATAATAAGCATACTTTCCTCAAGTATTTTTTACCAAACTGTTTATACTGCTGTTTAATTTCTTTATGTTCCATTCACAGATCCTATGAACTGACAAGAAAAGATCGGCTTTACAAGAACATAGAAAAGATGCAGCACGCCAAGGGAGTGAAACACTTTGATTTCATACCTCAGACGTTCGTAATGCCCGGGGACTTCCGGGAACTTACGACTTGTCACTACCGAACCAGGGGACCTTGGATAGTCAAACCTGTGGCGTCCTCACGGGGCCGAGGGATTTATATTGTTAATTCTGTGAGTAACGTTGTTTGTTTATCCGTTGTTTTTGTCCAAGTAATAATCATTTGTTAGCATCGTACTACAGTTGAACCTCTATAAGACGAATTTCAAGGGGTACGGGAAAAATTCATACTATAGAGGTATTCTTAATAAAGAGGGTTGTTTTATCGAGGTTTAATGCTGCTGTTATTCTTCTTATAGAGGTTTCTCCTCGCTCCAAGGTTTCTCCAAACAATGACTGAGGAAGGAGGAGGGATGGGTGGGGGTTTCATGTTGAGACAAGCTTCTGTTTGTTTTGAAAACTACGTACTATGGAGGTTAGATTATGATAAATTTGTCTTATAGAGGTTAATCAGTCCTAGCCCATGTCACAAACAAATTCGTCTTATGGAGGTTTTTAACTTAATTACTACGTTGTATAGAGGTGTTTTTAGCATTCACCTTTATGACAGTGTCAAGGGGATTAAAAAAAAATCGTCTTATCGAGGAATTTGTTTTTTCGAGGTTCGTACAAATGAAGTTCAACTGTACACAATATATTGGGTTAACAAAGGAATTTTTACATTTCTATAAGTTTTTTTTGTCTTAGGGCACTAGCCTCTGCCACGGAATTGTTTTTCACATTACTTCAGGCTTGACCTAGAGGTTGCAGCATCACTTAGATTAAATACTCTTTAGGTGACCAGTTCGGTGTAAAGTTTTTGGTGACAGCTAGTGACATAATCATGGGAAGAAGGAAAACAAGTTGAATGACATTGGTATTTTGTCACAGAAGATTATTCTTGTGTTACCAAAGCATCAAAACTAACCTACACCGATCTAGTACAGACTCAATTTTATTGGCTGATTAATAAAAACAATAGCAACGTGAATTTATTAGTGAAACCCTCACAGGGTGCTCATCCTCGCCTTAAAAAATAGTGCCAAGTTATGAATTTAAATAATGAATTGAACATTTGCAAATAATAATACTTGATGCTGAATATTGATATATTTCATTCGGGTCAAGCCAAGCAAATTAATTAGGAAATTTAACTTTGCTGTACTAAACCTGTTGGGACAAAACGCAAAGTGGGCACAGTTCTACATGTTCTGAATGAACAATAGCCTAAAAGTGAATTCTTTTAACAACTGGTGAGTTTTCTTATTACAATGTAAAATCCGTGTTTCTAGCCCCTGAGCTGTAACGTTATTAGGTAGGCTTTACCTTCGTCAATCAGCTCAAAAGCATTAGCTGTCGTTTAAACGGCGGTAACAACAGTTAAATCTTCTGAACTGATTGACGAAGGCAAGCCTATTTTTTGTGTTTTTTAGGGAACATAATAAATTAACCTGACTAAACCTACGCTAGTAAAATTACTTGGTTTCAGTTTTCATGAAACCAAGAAAGTTGTGACAGGTTTCTCAAATATATTTTACTTTAATATTTTTCTTTGAAATGGTGACCATACAAAGTAGGTATTTTACGCCAAGTATGAATGGAGATGAGTGTAGGATGAGTGGCCCGATCTTGTAGTCTTGTTAGTGACTAAGTTATATGACCTAATTAACTCACACAAAGTCAGTGACGGTGACAATTGACATAGCAGAACAAATTAAAAGGTTATAAACTCGATAACCAAGGGTAACTAATGAGTCCAAGTGAGCATCACCTTCAGTCACATGATGAAGTGATGTGGAATCTTTGCTGGTTGTTATTGACATGTCTAATGCATGGTAAGTAGGGCGGCTCACGCAAACCACCCCACTAACTACAACCACTCATATCCACCCTTCACCCTTTACCGTGCCTAACTCCGCTCTCAAGTTTATTAGGTAGTTTTTGATTGATTTTCGAAATCGTAAACTGCACAACCCATATATGAGATTTTAAATTTTTACTTTGGGATGAAATACTATTAATAGGGACAAAGAGAAGACAAAATAATAGTAGGAAAGAAAACGGCTAATTTGACATGTGCTGCAGCCTGGGAATTGAGTTTAGAACTAGTTTAAACTTTTTTTGACCAGTGTGTTATATTATTGAGGAAAATTTGATCAAAGTTCGAGGGGTCTATGTCCAAGGCTTTGATTTGTTTCCGACTAGGAGTCAGTTGTGAAGATGGTTAGAATCCTGTCTTGGACATGTCTACAGTGAAACTCATGATGAGTTTACTTGTGACAGTTTATTGGGTGAGAAGTCTAAAATAAACAGTGTATTACCTGGAGAGAAGTTGACTGTATATTACCTGGTTTGCACCTTAAATCAAACAGGTAATCTTTCCACAAAAACTTTTAAAATCTGACTTATGTGTTCATGAAATGAGGGAACACCTTGATAAAAAAGGTTTAGTTCGAATCGCTTTAATCTCAGAGAAGTAAGGAACAGAAGAAACATTCAGAGGCACACTAGGTGCATAACACTAGTCGCTGGTGCCTAGGGCAAAGTCAAACATCACCCTCACCCTCATGTACTACAACGCTCACGGTGGAGGAAGAACCGGTGCTCTTCCTTGCTTGTCACAAGTATAATTTCGGAACATATTTAAGCTGAAAGCGCATGGTTGTGCTCATAAGCAAGTTGTCACTGTAGCCTACCTTACTTCTGTTTGCGGTAATCTATAGTATTCATAGGGTTTATATATATTGTAAACAATATCTACGTTTACAGCCTGACGAAGTGCCTTTGGAAGAGTCGCTGGTGGTGGCCAAGTACATAGAGAACCCGCTACTGGTGTCCGGTCACAAGTGTGACTTGCGGCTGTACGTGGCTGTGACCTCTTACGACCCTCTCATGGTGTACCTGTACGAGGAGGGGCTGGTGCGACTGGCCACTGTGAAGTACGACAACAACCGTAAACATCTGTGGAACCCCTGTATGCATCTGTGTAACTACAGCATCAACAAACACCACTCTGACTACATAAAGGTAAGTGTGTTGTTTGAGGAACTATTTAGGACATTATCTGATGATTGAATATTAAATAATTCACACTATACTGGATTATTAATGTGACAGTTAGAGATGAGCGTTCATAAGTGATTGTTTTGAAACATCAATGTTTTTCTATCGGTGTTCAATGTTTTTTACATGGTGGGTTACCGATTGATGTGTTTGCGACATCGATGTTCTTATCCAACATCGATATTTTTGGCTCACAATGAATTTTATTCGGGACAAGCAATTGAATCTTGGTATTTATTCCATTGAGAGGATGATAAAAAATCTAATAAAAAAATGTCTTGAACTGGACTAGACTAGACTTGACTTAGACTAGAGTAGAGTGAGATAACTAACTACATAGTAGAGGTGCTAGTTCTAAGTAGCCTACTGACAAAAATCAATTCATCTGTAATAAATTTCAGCGGCAGAACTCCTGTTCCAGCATTTAGATTCATTTAGTTGTGAAAGAGAAACTGAACACCTAGAATGTCTAGCTGGTAGCTAGGTTGATTAGAATAGGCGTGCCTGAAGGCAGAAAAACAATTCTAAACGAATAAATATCGATTATCAATGTTTTTGGTCTAAAAACATTGATGTTTTCGTAAAAAGGTTATCTGTACATCGATGGTTGATAACGACGTTACCATCAATGTCAGTTATTTCTAGTACCAGCTTGAATACCGAATTAGCAAGATTTTACAATACTCATCAGGTTACATCAGATTTGTTTTGAGTGATAGAGTAGATTCGCTAGTCCTAACTCCGCCTTTGCATTTCTAACTGTCGCTGTTGTGTTGGGCAGTCTGAGGACCCGGAGGCTGAAGATGTCGGACACAAATGGACTCTGAGTGCCTTGTTGCGACACCTCAGGTCTCTCAACTACGACACGGCCTTGCTGATGCAGCGGATAGAAGAGGTCATCATAAAGTCTCTCTTGGCCACTGCACCGTCCATCATCGTCGCTTGCAAACTGTTTGTCCCTTCATATGTTAACTGTTTCGGTAAGTCTAATCCTATAGTAGTTTCTATTCTAGTCATCAGAGTTTTACCTGTGGTTTCTAAAGGATTATGTATATGTTGGTGGTCTTTGTTAATTTTCGGTAAGATTTACCATTGATTTAAATTATATGCTAGAAAAAGATGTTTATTCAAGTGAAAATCAGAGATATGGAAAGGGAGGTATCGTCAGTTAATACTGAATCCAAGGATGTAGTGCAGGAGGGGAGGTTGGTGATTAAAAGGAGATAAATAACTTGCCCCAGAATAGAGCCCTGTGGTACACCTAACGAGCAGAGGGATAGGGCCTCAAGCAACCAGTCTCGTCAATCAAAGTCTCCGTTGTTTATCTACGTGTTGACAGTTTATCATGTTTACAGAAGCTTAGAACTTTTTTGTTGGTTTTCATTAAGTCGTCAAGCCACTGAAATTAAACTATTTGCTAGAAAAAGATATTTGTTCAATGTTGTAGTAAAAAAGTATGGAAAGGGAGGTATTGTCAGTGAATACTGAATTTGAAGGACGTAGTGCAGTGGATGAGGTTTTTGATATAAATGAGAAAAAATAACTGGCCCCAGAATGGAGTCCTGTGGTACACCTAACGAGCAGAGGGATAGGGCCTCAAGCAAGTCTCATCAATCCTGGATGAGAAGCCTCACTAAAGTCTGCTTTGTTTGTCTCCGTGTTGACAGTTTATCATGTTTACAGAACTTTACGGGTTTGACATTCTGATAGACTCGGAGCTGAAGCCGTGGCTTCTTGAGGTGAACCTGTCTCCGTCGCTGGGCTGCGACACTCCACTAGACACCAGGGTCAAGTCTGCGTTGTTGGTAGACCTGCTTACGCTGGTGGGATTGCCAGCGGTGGATCCGGTCGTGCGACCGCCCACACGAGCTCACCGTCCGACCACTGCGCCTCACCTCACCACGGTTGGTTTAGTAATAGTATCCTATTCTTGAAGAAATATTAGGGATAATAGGTTTTATAGCGCTATAATTGTTTATTTAACAATAACATAAGATATTATTTAACCGAAGCTATTTTGTACAAATACACGGGCACATCAAATAAGGTAGTACTTACGTTAAGATGAGGTGGAGTTTACTTAAATTATTTAGCTATCCATGTTCCTTTCAAATACTCTGAATCGAAATAAGGCTCTGCTGGTTAAATAAACAAAATTTGTTTCTTAAATAATTCTAGTGAGCAGTTCTCGGATATTTACAGGTTTGTTTTAAAATCGGCAAGCTACAATTTTACTACTGTCACTTTTATACAATCTACTGGGGCTCTCTACTTTCTTCTTCTAATTTCATAGACATGTATAGAATTCCTAAAACTAAGTTTGTGTTAATTGTATTTATGTAGACAAGGCATTAAAAATTATATACAGAAATAATACAAAGTTAAAATATCATGATCAATAACAAATGGTCTGCAGTTATTTTATCAAGGGTTTAACAATTATTTTGCACAGCCCTTTTTTGAATTCAGGTGGTTTAGAAGAGAGCTGAATAAATTATATGACAGCTTTGTTACTGACTAAGCATCCGCTGGTGCTTTAGCCATATTTATCTTTTAAAAGCCCCAATGATCAAGGACAATTGGGTCCAGTTTCGAACTGTTAAAAAGATTCAGACTTTTCTCAGGATCGAACTAGCAACCATATGATTACCAAGTGGCACTATATCCACTCAAAGTTGAACTTAAAATCATCAAATACTTCCTGTATGTTGTAGTCTCGCCGTGTACAGTCTGCGGACTCCCTGCCCAACGTGAAGCATCGTGTACACAGCGCTCCGTCACATTCCCACAGTCTCACAGCTGAAGAGGCCCGCGTAGTGAGGTACGCCAAGGCGCAGTACGAGCGACGCGGAGGCTTCATACGCATCTTTCCCTCCGCCGAGAGTTGGAAACGCTACTCAGCATATCTCGGTAATATACTGAATTGTTTGAAAATGAATTGAGTTCAGCTAGCTTAGCTGAGAAAATTGAATGTCCTGGGGCTAATAGATACAAATAAAAGAACAGTAAATATGACACAGATATTTCGTTCAGATTTAGGACCTGGACTTGTTCAGAAAGTAGGTTGTTTGAAATGTCTGAGTTTTTGTGCCTAATTAGTCCCTGGACTCTAAATTTTATCAAGTAAGCTAGCTGTCTTTTATTTTAAGTCAAATTCCTTACTATCAATTGGCTTGGTAAAATATAACCTTGGTATCACACTGTTATTCTGTTTTAATGTGGTTGGATTCATAAACATAATTATGTACAATCGACTTAACTAGCAGTCAGTGTAATTTTAGTTTGGTATACCTATTTTCATTCTTCTAAAGTATATTCAAATTCTTTCCTAATCTGATAACAAATGTACGAAGGCGGTTTTTTAAGTAAGGGTTGTTTTGCGTCCATGGCTCGCTTGTACATGGCAACTAGGCTTCTCAACACTGACTGATCGTTCGTGAACAGATTGACATCATATTTACAGCTCTATAGGTGACATGTACTCTTCGCTGTGTGTTTAAACCATAAAAAAATGTTTAAACCATCAAATGTTTTGCCGCGAGCGAGATAAGGATATTGATTTGTATTTTGTTTACAAGAAACATGTCCAATGCCAAAATCCATCGCCAGGATGACTGAAGGCTATGGCCCTAATGCAATGAGTGAGGGTCAAGTGTGTAAATGGGTTATGGAGTGTAAACTGGCTGTGAAATCCTTTTTCCCTTGTGGTCTTCTGTCAAAAGTCTAAGGATTTAACAAAAACACAATTCCTTGTGAAATAAACATATTCACGGCCATTTTTGAACTCCCTAGCCTATTTCTACCCTCAACCCCCTATTTGCATCAGGCTCATAAACTTTATAGTCATCTGGCGATGAATGTCAGCATCGTATGTATTTCTTGTGGTAAAAACGTGTCACTGACCTTATCTCGTACGCGACAAGAGATTCAATAGTTTAAACAATTTTAAAAACACACAGCGAAGCAAACATGTTAGCTACAGAGCTGCAAATGGTTTCATTTTGCTCACAAATGATTCCATTAAGTGGAGAGGAGCCTCGTGGAGTACAAGTGAACTATGGATTTATACGTAAATACACTCGTTACTTAAAACCCACTGTGTTTTAACCCAAATAAAAATATAAGTGAAGGATTAGTGCAGAATTGAGTGAGATGATTTGTGTAGCTTTAAAAGTGACTATGACCTGCTTGGTGCAGGTTTGAACTATTAAAAGCTACAAACTTTTCTCAGAATACTTGGTGAGCACTTAAACCGAGCTACCGATCTAATAAGGCCGTTCTTCACCTACCTTCTTTTGCAGACCCAGTGACAGGCATCCCATCAGTACCTCCAGGCACGCAGTGGTGTGTTCCTCCCAACCACAACATCAACTTGACACTTCACCAACAGCTGTTCCCCGATTCCATCACGTCGCTGTTGCCATCGGTGATCAGTGCCGAGCGTCTGTGTCGCTACGAGCGAGCGCTCAGTCGGGGACACCGCAGCAGCTTAGATGAAGCGCAGCATGGAACAGTGACCAACGACACTCAACAGGACACTCAGTTGGATACTAGAGTGCTCAAACAGGAACTCGTCAAGTGCCTGAACGATGGGTTCAAGCTGAGGTAATAATGTAAAAGTAATTACTACTGTTAAATCTGGTCAAGACTGTATAAAGAGAGGCTTTGGATCTTAAAACTTTTGAATCGGTTTACACACAGTATTTTTAGGGTATCTACTTTAACATGTAAACCTTAAAACTTTGAATGAGTTGAATTTTGCGTGAATTTTGTGAATCAACCTTAAAAACGGGATTAGCTGATTCCATTTCTCTATTTCTCAAAACTTTCTATACTATTAAAGAATGGTATTGAAGACCAACTAACTCGTGTGTCATACAATGTGCAGTAAGATCCAGGCTCGGCAGGCGTTCGGACAGTACCTGCAGTGTGTTCTGGGCCGCATGAGTGGACAAAGGACCAAGGCCAAGTTGAGGTTTGACGACGGAGACAGTGAACTCATCCTTCGCTTCTTGCAGAGAGCGAGTCACAACCTGCGCACAGCTTATCATGTCAAGGTTGGTGGTTTGGTCATGTTGAAATAAACAAATATTTGTATGATTTTTAATTTTTGTGTGAGTTGTCTTAGAGTAAATAATACAATAGTTTACAGACCACAGGCACACAACTATTAAGTCTAGTTGCGTTCGTACCAAATTGTAAGCAAACAAAGTCAGAAACTGTGACTTGAATATATTATATGTATTACTCAATCACAATTCGATCAACCTGGTTTTATAATAATGAACAATGTTGTGTGAAATTGTTTGTTTTCCAACTGAGTTTATAGTTTTTGCATTGATTTAGTTCATTATCACTGGAGCTGTTGTAAGATTTTGTCTTTTTCAGCCTTAGGTATTGTACAAACTTATAGATAGACTTTTTCTTTAAGTTTAGGTTAGATAACAAATAATACTCTAATGTAAAAACAATTGACAAGGCAGAACTAAACTGTCAACTCTATTGCTGATACATTATTTACCTTATGAGACTATTCTGTTACTAACATCAGCCTCCAATGTTTCAGCCCCCCAACAGGAGCCTGGTAGGCAAGGACCGTGTTGCTATTGTAGCCAAGAACCTCAGTGACTTTCTGTACATATACAACAGAGAGACAGAGTCCATGTCTTTGCCTACAGACACCAACAACTTTGTACCAAACAGACTCTTCACCCTCTTCCTGCAAGTGGCCAAGTGAGTACATTTGTACATATATTTGAATTGGTGAGTCGGTATCGCCGCGGACAGTGATGTGGCTTCGGATCCTGGTTCCTGCCACTACTTTTTAATAAGCAGTACAGTGTACAGTTAACCTTCACAGTGTAGTACTTGCTTTGTTCCACACACAGACCTTCATGGCCCATGTGGACGGGCAAATGCAAGGTAAAAGAGGATGCCAGCTTCTTAAGAAATAAGAAAATAAAACCAACAAGATTTTGTGCGTGTTTGGTCCTCTGAGTGTTTAAGATGGTCAATCTATTGACCCTTAATTGGTTGGATGACAGATTAAGGGAACTAAAGATAATTTTTACCCATACATACTATTTGACTCTTATTCCAACTGTTAATGCATATTGCTACTAGTTTCCGAGTTATCTGTTCTCTAATACAATTAGTGATGGTTTAGTTTTTATTTTATGTAGTTTTGTATCTTTAAGTAATTGTCTTCTGGTGTGTTGTTACAGAGAGAGTGACCTAGAGCAGATCCTAGTGTTGAACACACAACTACACAAGTGTGCCCAGGTACTGCTAGGCCAATGTGGCAGTCCGTCAGTAACCAAACTGCAAACTCAGAGTCTTCTGCACAGCATCAGCAAACCACTCAACCCTCACGAGAAGGTAATGTCAATGTGCCAAGTTGAATTTTTTATACAGGTAGAAAGATTGGTTTATTAACAAATAAATTGAAATCGAGAACATGTTCTGCAGTCATGGTGGTAAGGAGTACAACTTCTGTGGTTGCAGAAAATCGTCATCGTTTCCCGCAATTACGAAAAAACCTACGATCACCTGCAATGGCTCGACTTCGCAGACAATGACAGAAACAACTTGGCTCGGTCAATGTGAAATTGTAAGAATCATCCGAGGTTGCTGAGAAATTGAGAAAATAGATTGTGAACAGTCTTTTGCTGCCACTGTAAAATCAAAAACATTCTTTTACAGTCGCAGGCCGAGGGATATTGTAAACAGCTTTCGCAATTGCAAAGACATCATTATTGTCTTCCGCGATTACGGCAAAATCATAAACAGCATATGCAATCGCAATGATCAATTGTTTCAGAAATCTGTTCATTCCGAACACCCGCTTATCTAAACAGAGTCTGGTCCTCGTACGTTCAGAACTGTAGGGATTGCATATTTTTGTACCTCAACGCACAGCTGATTGTGATGTTTGTTTTAGGCCACTTTCCTCGACTGTGATTGTAACAAGAAGAGTTTCCCTCAGTTGCTGAGTGGAAACAAAGAGAACGTGCGATCACATCCCAAAGTTTCCAGAGCTCTATAGCCACCGCTATCTTCTTCAGCTTGCATTTTAGCTTGGTAGTTCCTAAAGCGAGCCAAAGATAATGAGATTACTATATCAAATAGTTTTTGACAATCCAAAACTGTAGATTGATGGTTAGAATTGTCACTATATAATTACTTATTTTTTTAATGTTGTGTTATGAATTTTTATTATTTTTACAGCTTGATTTTAAAGCCTAAGTAATCTCTTTATGTGGCTTGGAATTGTTGCAAGTTATTTGATGCCTTACTTTTTTACTATTTATTTATTTAAACATTTTCAATTTTAGACTATTATTTACGTTTTAAGACCGAGAAGTGTACTTATGTTGGTTGTGTTGTTACGTTTTTGTAAAGAATGTTATTTTATCTATTTTGCTTTATTTATTGTAGGATTTGATTTGTATTTAAGAGTCACCATGTAATGTTGCAATTAAAGTGTTTTATATAATTGAAACTGTACAACAATTTTAAATTGAGGCAGCTAAAAAGGTTTTTGTGCCCCTCCTTTTAAAAGGTAAAAACTTGGAATACTTAATTTAGTTAACGATCCTAATTTTTTAGAGCCATATATAAAAAAAAATACTGTCTATTACCTTTTTTAATGTGTTTTTCCACAATCGTTTTGTAACGAAGAAACAAATTTTAAAGTGAACACTGTCGTTAATGGGCAGATTTTAGAAAACGATACTCAAATCAATCTGAATTTGATCAAACAAATTCTCCTCTATCAACCTAAATATACATAATCGTAAAGTTTTTAATATTTGATGTAGGGAATGAAATTAATACAATATAAAATTTCAAGCTTTTGATCCCATAAACATAATATGTAGACATTTCCCCCAAAAAAATCAATCATTTTAAAACCCTATGCTTTTTCCTCTACTGTAAAATTGACATTGCAAATAAACAGAGCCTAAAGATTACGAATAGTACAAGAAACAAACATCACATTTTACATCAATTTGATTAGTGTTTCGGTGACAAGAAAGTGTTCAAATTGTTTTTTAGGGTTAACTACAGATAGTGAATAGTGACTATTACAAATAACCGGTTCATTAAAAAGAACATTGTAAACACATTCTAGATATGTTCAGGATGATGATATTCTATTCTTCTAAGTATTTTAAACCTTGATTAAGTTGCAAAAGCCAAAATTTGAGAAATATTTTTGATTTTGTTAATTTTTTAATTTTTGTTCCCAAGCGTTATTTCTGATCTTAAACTACTAGTCAGATCAGTATTATATTGTTACCAGAAGTTTATACTCTTATACACCCTAGTCATCCACCTCAATAGACGACACCGTTAACCTTTTTAATTGAAAGATAACATTCACAAACTATGCAATATATTAAAAAAAGATTTCTACTACTCTTGCATCAGTGATAAGTTTTGCGTTTAGATCGAATTTCAAGATTTCCTGGATTTTTTGTCTTGACACTGAGTATTACTAGTAATTAACACTAAGTCAAAGAAATGTTTTGTAATTTTATTATTTATGAGATTTGTATTTTTATAGCACAATTATTTATTTTTTTCACCATTATACCTATTTTATTTTGCATATTTATTCTATACTGTAGTGATTTAGTTGTATTTCTTAATTTATTGTTACCTATATTTACCATCAAGTATCCTTTATAAGTTTTTGTTTGTTATTTAATATATCGTTTGTAAGGATAAATTAGCGCACAATTCCTATTTGTGATATAAGACTAAAGATTTTCAGTTCGTTGATGGCAAGTGATAAGTAAGTTTAGTTTTTTTTACCATTACTTCTTAAAATACCTTTTAACACTCCATATTTAGGAAGGGTCAAACTACAATGAAAAAATGATCGCACAAGTTTTTTTATATCAATTAATGTTTTAAGTAAAATCTTCTTATATAAGGCTCATATTTATCATTATTTTTTTCAAAATATTTTACATTTATAGTCAAAAACAGGCGTAGTGTAAATAATGAAATAACATTTAATCGGTTTGGTTGTCTCCAAGAACATAATCGATAATTTTTCTTAAAATATTTCCTATTTTAACTTTTACATTTAGCTAATCTGCAGGAAAATGTGTTTGAGGGTTTATTCCTCTTTTACGAGGCTAATTTCAAAGCTTACAGTTTAATTGTAGCTGATCTTCCAACTAAATTACATTCCGACATTTGTGTTTGAATGTCCTTGCACTGCCGTGTGTAAAACTTTGTTTGCTACATTTTTATAAAAATAACATAACAATTTTTTAAAACTGCCATTTCCAAAGTTGTTACACTAATTCCAAATAGTTTCTGGTAATATGTCTTTCAGTGTTATAATAAATTAAGGTTTTCACATTTTGTACTCGTGATAACTTTTTTACTGTGTGTTTTTTTACTGTTCTACTGATATTTATTTTTTAGGTTGTATAATTCAGAAGGTTGTTGGTTCTATTCCTAGCGTAACTAATGAAAAGAAATTTGTTTTTTACTTTAAGCGCTGTGAATTCTTTACGTCTGTGTTTTTACGCCATGCAAACCAATATATTTAGAGCCTAGTCTACTTCCATTACCATTGTGAATTTGTGATACATAAGTCTCTTTATAAACTGCCTACCATGTTAAAAAAGTAATTACCGCATCAACTTACACGTTTCCGTCTAGTATCTAACCATGCCTGCCTTAGTAAAACCGTTAGCGTAATGTTAGTCCTGTGCCTTTAAATTTAATCCAAGCCAAAAATCTTATCGATTAATGAAATTTTTTCCGCTACTGAAAAGGAGTTCCGTGTTTTGTGAAGTAGTGAACAACCCTTGATACAGTTGCCAAATATAAAGCAACATAGAATTTGTATGTATCATGCTAATAAAAAGATTTAAAATATTCTAGCTGCTAGCCTTCTAGCTGTTGGAAGAAGTTTGTAGTTCAGTTTTATACAGGAATGTATAAAGTAATTAAATTTTTTCATACTTAGGCACTTAAGAATTTGATTCCAATTTTTCGATGGTTAAACGTATCAACAATCGGCTTTTACATCAAACATATGTCCTTTATACTGTGTTATCAAACTGCGAACTCAATTCAAATTAGTTTCTAGAAAATTCAGCCCATCCATATTAACATGTATTTTTTTCCTTTTGAATTAGAACTAGAATAGAAAGTTAATGTCAACAAGCTCAGTCCCAGCAATAAGGAATTATTTTTCTAATAAATTTAAGTGAAAAACATGTTAACTAATTAATAACATCTACAATACCGTACAATGTAGATATTTATACATAAGTCACAGCCACATACTTATTAATTAGTGATGTGTCAAAACCGAACCTGAAATATCAAAACTATCAAAACTTAGGAAAAGTTTCTATTGGCTGAGATTCAATCTTGATTTTGAGATTCGATTAGGGGGTTTGCAAGAAGTTTCTGTTTCGAGATTCGATCTGTGAAATTCAAGAAGTTTTGGTTTCGAGATTCGATCAGTTGCAAGCCTTCTGTTTTTTGTTGTCTCTTCACTAGTGACGTTGTGGATACAAACATAATATATTTCTTTCTCCTGTTTGCTCTCAAAATATTGTGCAATATCTTTCAATGACTTTACAAGGAAACAAATCAAATTTGTTTGGTATTTTATTCCTCATGAATCATAAACATAAATTGCCATTTACATAACTAGATTCACAATAACCTTTTAAGCTGGCAGCAATGGAGCAAACAGTTCACCAATAACACTGATGAAATTATATTCTGAATGCCAACAGGTCTAGTAATTTTACTACTAATTCAACAACGACGCACATACAATACAGTTTCATATTAATGTTTATTAAACACAAGTAAACATTGCCCCTATATGATTGAATTGATCTTATTAATGTTATGTGAGTGTTCAAAATTAAATTTTTGATTTAGTTTTTGTTTTTTAGAAAATTATGTTTTTTATATGTTTAAAGCTGTCTAGGTTTAATGGCATTTATTCCCCAATATGTGACTCTTGGTTTGTGACAACATTAAACCTATAAAAAACATAATTTTCTAAATAACAAACACTAAATCAAATTTAATTCTGAGTGGCCAGGAGTCCAAATTCTTTCAGTTTTGATAGCGTAACATACCACAGCGTTACGTGCATTTTTTGTAATCAGGTTGGTAAAAAGTTGCGCGTTTAAGGTTTGAAATTTGGGATATAAGTTTTTCAGTTTCACTTTCAAGATTCAAAATTTCTGGTTTTGACCATCACTATTGAAACAAAACATATTCAATTTCATTGTTATAGCAGCGTGTATCAATTAATGATTCGCCTTAAACAACTAACAACTATGTTAAGTGGATCTATTAACACCAATGTATGTTTTGTCATTCAAACTGCCGGGATGTCATGTTATGTTCGAGTTTTTCTTCCTGCAGCATTTTACCATTATCACTTCTGTACAGTGTTATATCGGTGGTTGTTGTGAACGTAAGGCACCGTAGTATTTGTTGCACTTTTTCGTATAAAGAGAGGCTGTGATTTTCTCGATCGTGTCTTCGTGATTGCTTTGCTCACTCAATTTTGTTGCTTGTTGTTTGTATTTCTACTCCTTTTACATTGTCCAATTTTTGTATTCTATTGAAAATAAAGGAAGAGGTTTTGTGGGAGATGTGTATTTCATTTACACCTTGAGTTTTCTTTAGATGTTTGTGTTATTGCTAACTTAAGGCTTTGACTATTGACTCAAGTAGACGTCCTATTCCTATGTTAGCTGGTCACTGGTCCAGTGGTAGAGCGTGGAACTTAGGTTCTCGAGGATCCTTTTGTAAGCCTGACGATTGCGAAGGAACTACCGAAACATATGTAGCAAGCTTAAAACACTACAGTACTTGTTAAGGATTGCACAACAAGGTAAGTTTTTACCATTATTAGGAATTAAAAAATATTTCGTAACTTTTTCCTTTCCAAAGACAATATTTCCTTTATTTTTAAAAGAATGTCTACTTTGCTAGAGCTCTATACTGTCCGATTCATAATGCTTTTCATGTATATAATTGGGGTTATTCCTAATCTTATTCGTAGAGCAACAAAACTACAAAAAACAAGTACTGACATGCAATGTTGGTTTTAGGTTCTTTTGGAGCTAAAAACAGTAAATAATAATTCAGGACTCAAGGAGAAGAAGAAAATTATTGAATATTGATTTATCTCATTCAAACGCTTGACCTAAAACAGATATTTTGAAGAACCGAAACAGTTGGACCGAATGGATCACAGGTACGTAATTGTTCACCATAAACCTTTTGTTTTATTATTTATTATTGAAATTTGTGTTACGCAATTTTATATGCACGGCTAGACCAAATACAGGACTATTATAAGGAGATTTTTCATTTTCCTGACTTTGCCTGCTGGTTTTGATTTTCTTCTATGTTGAGGAACCTTTATAGTTCGGCCGCTTAGAAAGCGACCTCCTCCAGCATTGGTTTAGCATTAGCGCGCAGGTCGTTTTCTAAGCGGCCGAACTATAGATACCTATTCAGTTTAGACTGCATTGTGTTCAAT